AATTGACATGTCAATGAGGAAATCAGATCTCCCCTAGCCTGCCTGGTTCCATTTTTTGTGTGATGCTTTAGGCGATTCCTAGGTAATAATTTCTGCTTGCCCTTTTTTGATACTTCCTGTTCAATTCTTCAATATTAAATTTTCTTTCAAATAATTAGCTTTGCATGAAGTACCTGAATGAGAACAGTATCTTTTCAAACAACTCTTTCTAAGGGATGTAAGTGTTCTTCACAAACTAGATAAAAGGATGGGGATAAATAGTCTCAGACTGCTTCACTTGGGCTACTTTCTTTAACAAGACCTGGAAGGAGTTTATCTTAGGGATTAACAAATTTAACTGAGTATTAATTTGCATATATCATGGAATAACTATATGCTGTAGTTTAAAGAAAAGCAATATATGTCCATAACTTTTGCAGATAGGTACCAAAAAAAATAACTAAAATACAAGTCATTAATGGAATGTGGTTCTATTGTAAGTATCAAATCTCTCCTCACCAAAATATATAAAAACTTGGTCTGGCATGTCTAAGGTGATGTTTGTTCTAATCTGGTTGTGCATTTTTATTTTTACTCCCAACATTTTCCTTGTTTAATTCTGGTCTATTTCAATTAACTCATTTCCTTTAATTATATGTAAAGTGCTAGGTAACTGAAAATGAATAATTGTTTGCTTCCTTTTATATGAAATCTACTCTGTAAAGCACTAATCTTAATAGACTTCAGTTTATACATTATCAACTATTATTTCCAGTATGCTAGTTATTTATGTTGCTATTTGTTGTATGAAACAGAAAATTGATGTCCATTTGATGAAATAAATGTTTGTATTCTACAAAGTACCTATAAATTCTATGCTAGAATATAGTCTATATTTTTCTACAGGGTTAGATGAAATAAATGTTTTATTGAATTAGTATTCTATTATTCTGAAAGTTTTTCTGTCATATTTCTTTTTCTGCATCTCCAATGCTTCACCTACCTCTAGTGATTGGAGGTCAAGGTAGTAGGCTTGTGACAAAATGATATCTTGAAAACATTTTTTTTCTTACTATCATATTTACCTAATTTCCATGCCATGCAACACTGACATACATTATATGTCCCGGCCTGCGGGACTGTGGAACAGGTTCCTTGGGGGAGGGAGTGAGAGATGGGACAAACACACACACACACACTACCAGGTGTGATCAAGTCATCGTCTTCCGTCTACTTCCGTTTATTCAGGAAAAATGGCGAGTTATATACAGCTGGTGGGCACCAATTGGCTGCCCGAAATGCAAATGAGATAGAACAGCATTAACCAATCATTGATGTGGGTGGATCTCTCCCGTTGCCTAGAAACCCAA